TATGCTCACTGTAAAAAAGCTATTTTTATCTTCTGATGGGATAGTCCTCATTCTCTGGTTCTCCCCCACAGGGATCCAAGTGCAGTTGGTGGTATTGCACACTACAGTTCGCATATGGCCCTACTTCGTAATCCTCTGTCAGGACCAGGAATTTAGCTCAGTGGTTTTGCCACCTGCCTTATAAGCACAAGGTCCCGAGATTGATCCCCAACACCAGTCATCATCATCTATCAGTGTCTTGCCTTGCACACTAACTTTCTATCCAGAACTAAGACAGTACTGGCATATTAAGCATTTATTAATCTGGGCTAAGCTTCATGCAGGTCTTAAAACCAGAAATCAGTGTTTTCAAATGGTGAATCATAAAACTTTGTATTTAAAATTCATTTCAGTGTTTTAACCTGATTATAATTAAAGAAAAAAGAGGAAGTAGTGAACGCCTACTCTGTGTCAAACCTGTTGTGCATGCATTCTCAAATTGTTCTCCAGTCAGTCTATATTTGTGTCAGGTGGGAGTGAGGTGACTGAGGGCCTGTGGAACTTGTCTATCCCAGAGGCTATCCCAGAGGCATCTCCTGCAGAATTGCATGGTGCCCTGTCACACTTCTCTTTATAATGGAAGGCAAGACACATGTAAAAGTAAATATGATAAGCACTTCTCTTTGATACCTTATTTACACGTAAACAAGTGTAAGTAGTGTAACTATTAACATTGTTTCATAAAACTTTAAGATAACTAGCCAAGCATTTATTTCTTAATTACAGAAAACCATTTTAATGAAAACAACTGGCTAAAACTCTCAGTAAGTTGGAATGCATGGCGCATGACAAATGTAGAAATGCAAAGTTACTTCCCATAATTTTAGAAGCTTGATTCTTAGCTTTTATCTATAATTACATAATGTAGTGAATAAATGACAAGCCACCCTTTTGCCTTCAAGTGATTCCATTTCTTTTTTATAAACCAAGTGACAGTTGAAGTTTAGGAATGTTTTCAGATTAAGCAACTAGTCTAGAGTGATAGTACACTGGATTGCCAACTTCCAAACAGAACAAGCTCTTGACTCTGCCACCTGCTTCAGCCAGAAAAGACCTCTTTAATGTCATATATTAAATTTTTTGTTTTTTTCTGTGAAAAAAATGATTTAAATGAACAAAAGTCTCTGTTTTTGTAGTGTTTATATTGACAAACAGATTCTGTCTTAATGAGATTCATTTGGGTTTGGGGCTTGCAAGATGCTCTTTAGTTGCTGCTACCAGAGCCCAAAGCAAAAATGCAAACCTGCAAATTTGTGTTTTTTATATCCCCATATATTCACTCAGCAAGTGCCCAGGGCTACTCTCAGGGCTTCCCCATACATATGTACAAGTCATACACTGCCCAATTTAGAAGGTCCCAGTCTCATCACAGTTTTTACTACAGTGTTTCTACTACTGCAGTACAGTATTTTGAGGAAGAGGCTACAGACTTGGAGCTACAGACTTGCTTTCAGTTGGCAAGTGCCTCACACCAGCAAGCTGAGCCTGTCTCCTATAAAATGTGTCATCTTCTCTGGTAGCTTTTGAAAAGAAACCAACTGAATAGGATAAAGCCCTTTAGGTAGGAATAATTGCAAGAAAATACACCTCCCAAGGGCTTTTGTATTTTAAAAGAAGTGGTTGCTGATCCAGATTAAACTGATGCCTAGAATAGAAATGTTTTCAAACTAAGGAGCTTTGCATTCTTAGTGCCCTTTGTCCACTGTGGGCTGTCAGCACCCTAATTGGTAGTAGCCAGATGTAAGAAGAAGCAGGGGCCACAGTTGGGCCCACTTTTTCTAAAATATTGCTAAGCCATAACTTTTAAGTACTGTTCAGACTCATGTAGTTGGTTTCATGTCTGTAACAACCTGAAAAAGTGACTTGTTTGGTAGCGGGGTCAAGGGGCTGGAACCAGATTACCAAAGCCATGTTTCTTATTTCACTGTAAGACTTTTGGGCCCTCCACCTCGTAATTTATATAACTTTCTTATTCTGACTACCTGTTTGTAAGTTCATTAGGAGCAAAGCTCTGACTGTACATCCTCCAGAGCGCTGAATTTCAGCCAGAATGGAGAGAGGATTATTGGAGGTCACATGACTTGTTGGCAGGACCAGAAATCGAATTTACTTCATTGTGCCATATGCCAGTTTAGTGTTTGTTCCACTCTACCACTGTTCCAGTTATTTATTGATGTATAATAAACCATTTCAAAATGTAACACTTTGGGAAAATGGATACATATTGAAGATATACTCCTAAGTGAAATAAATAAGTCACACATGTGTAAATACCGAATAGTTTCTCTGGTGTGAATAATCTGCAACAATACAGAAGATCCTAATAAGATTACTGACATTGGGAAATGGGAACAAAGGAGCTAAAGGTGTAGGGAAGGTGTGAATGGGAAGGGGAAGGGTAAAAAGGGAAAAGAAAAAAATGTGAGAATGAAAAGATAGAAATAAAGTGGTTGTAGATGGGAAGGGGAGGAGCGGGTGAAGGGAAGGCAGGAACAAGGGGAAGAAATGAAAACCAAGACTTTTCATGTAGAGGTACAAGATCCCAACAATGAATGTAACTGTACTGTATCCCTAAAATGTACCAGTAAACTCAATTAAAGCTGAAAAAAAAATGTAACACTTTGTTGTTTCTCTTAGGTCTTTAGGTCAGGAACTTGAACAAGGCTAGGTAGGACATTCTTCTCCATATGGTACTGATGGGTTACTCACTGGCTTGCCTTCAGCTGGGTAGATTGACAGGCCCAGGAAAATTCATGCATATGTGTACAGTCTCAATGCCATGTTCTCCTGTTTTTTTCTCTCCATGTATTCTCTCTCTCTTCTTCAATACTGTAGCCTAAACTTTTTTTCTACAACTTGGTAGCACTCTTCTGTAGGGAAAGCAAACATTGGTAAGCCTCTTAAAACTTTCCCACAAATGCTGCCACTGGCCTTGCAAGCAGAGGGTCCCAGGTTTCATCCCCAGTACCAAAAACAACCCAAAAACTTTCCTACAATTGGTACAGATTGATTTCTGCTGTGGTCTCTGTGTCTAGGCAAGTAACAAGGCCAGTTTGGGCAGTAGGGACCCATGTACCACATCTAATGCAGGGAGCAGCCTGCACATTGAGGGAGAGAAGGAATTGCTGGTTGCCGTCTCTGGAGACTAATGGCAACCATAATTAACCAACACATGTAGATTTCCATAGTACCTCATTTAACAGAGAAGTTCAAACTTAGAAAAGCAGCAGAAAAATGCCCTGAAACACGTTATCCTTTTTTTCACCTGAATGCTCAAATGAAAAGTTAGGAATGTTGCACTGCCTATCCTACAGAGTCCCTTGCTGTTATGGCTTGGATCAAGAATGTCCCCCACCAGCCTCATGCATTCATTGGCTGAGGTTTTGGAAGGTGATTGAGTCAGAGTGTTGTGTGCTTATTCATGGATTCATACACAGATGATTTCAGATCTAAATGCGCTATAGGGAGGCGGGGTCTGGTCAGAAGAGGTGGGTCACTGGGCAGGTGACCTGGAAGGGCATATAATTCCCTCCCAACTCATGCCTTCACTCTTTCCTGACTGCTGTGACATGCATAGCTTTCCTTCATTATTCCCCTCTGCCGTGTATTTTCTGTCTGTGAACCAGCCGACCACTGATTATAACCATAAACCTCTTCTCCTTTAAGTTTTAAGTGTTGGGTACTTTGTCCCAGTGACAAGAAAATGACTAAGATACATAGCATCATCCTTTGCCTGAGCTTCTTCTAATGGCATTTGTTCTTGAGAATAAGAGAAGAGGCTGCCGCACTTTGTGGGATATGTAAGGAACATGGTTAGTGCTTGTGTAATCTGACAGTGGACATTTCGTGACAGTTTGTTTTTAGAGTTAACCGTTATATCTGAGTTTTGTGTCAGGCATTTCAGTTCATCTCTAAGGGCAGGTTCTCCAGGCAGCTGTTTGTTAAAAGCAATACTTTCAGACTGCATATGTATATTGATAAAATGGAGTATACTTACAAATAACTTTTTCAACTATAAATTTCCATGAACAATTCTAATTATACTCATTCTCTTAAAAGATGTGGGGAGGGTATACCTCACTAGGTGTTTCTTCCCTTGTTAATGACGCAGGGGATTTTTATATGAATGAACAAGAATCTAAAACTAGAAAATCAATTTTTTGGCCTATGCCAATGCTGGCACCATCCTCTCTTTGTATTCTGACAGAGTTTAAATTATCCCAGATGATGAGGATTATTCTCTTTCTCTGATTAAAAACTACTATAATCTTACAAATTTGCTTGGGAACATTTTTACACATTTTTTTCCTTAAAAAAAAAAAGACTTTATCTTTTTGTTACAGTTAGAATGTCTTTTGCCACTCAACCCAGAGTACTCCTTCCTAGAAATAAGTGACATATTCTAGCATCATAGCAAGAGAAGAAATATAAGAACAGCCATTTATAGGCTGCTTGGACAAAACTCTTCTAAGTGCTTTGGGAAATCTCACATTTGAATAAACTTTGTCTAGAAAATTGAGTTTTTTTTTCTTATATAAATGGAAATCTTTAGTTCCCCAAATGTGTGTGAGAAAAACTTTAATGCTTTTGTATCACCTGCCTAGAAGTATGGTCCATTTAAATCTAATTTGCCTCTTTGTGTTGCTCCATATTTAGTAAAGATATTTTATGTACTATTTGATACAAAGTTGTATGTGTAAACATTTAAACATGGCACAAAAATAGAATTCAATTAGGAATAGTCTAGACGTTTCTACAAATTTTTTAAATTGCCATTTTATCCTCTATTTTGTTGGTGATGGGCAGTGGTGGCTTCTTGTTATTTGCTATTTTCTTTGCTTTATCTAGGTTTAAAAAGACAGTGCGCCTCTTTAAAATGGTCCAGGTCATTGAGAACTCTGGGGATTTTATTTGAATATACGTATTTTAAATTTTTCATATCTTCATTCACTTCATTTTAGGAAGAAGAATTAGAAGCCCAAATATCCTTCCTTCAGGGACAGTTGAATGACCTGGATGCCATGTGCAAATACTGTGCTAAGGTGATGGACACTCATCTTGGTGAGTGAGCTACACTCGCCCTGGGAGTGAATGATTTTAACAAGAGTAGCTAGTAGCATTTGTGCTCAGTCCTGTGTTGAGCTCTCAACATTGAATTACCTTGTTTATTCCTCACAACAGTGCTATAGTAGAAGTACCGTTACTTATCCACATTTTATAAATGAGGAAACTGAAGCTCAAAAGGCAATAAAATGTCCACAGTCACACCCATACGGAGTGGAGTGGCAGTTCACATTCCAGCAGTCCAACTGTAGATTTCAGTTCCCAGCTGCTGTACTGCCTTTGTAAATGCCTGTCTGCCTTAAACCAAAGTGAAATGTTGCAATTTAAAGGTTAAACAATCAGCAGTTTTGCTGCAGTATCCTGTCTGTAATCATTGACATAACTGGCAGTGATTTCTTTAAGAAATTTTTTTCATCACCTGCCATAAAGGTCAGACCTTTGCTTACTTTTGACTGTGGCTCTTAAAGATTGTTCAAGTTTGCAGTTCATCTACCTGTGCATTCACTGGTCACAGACAATCTTCAGGCACTACTCTACCTTTATGAAGGCTCCATGTTTTGTATTAGACACAGTCTCTGCCAGAGCATGGTGCACTGCTTCCATAATTCTGTGCAAAAGGTTCTGTTGTGTGTACTGTCACTCCCTGTCAGCCAGGTAGGGAAATCCTTTCTTTTCCCACTCTTCAGCATCTAGCCATCTTTAGTCTCTTTGAGAACAAATTAGGGAAAGAAGCTATGTATTCTTCTGAACAGGCCAATATGCAGCACCCAGGAGTGTGGAGAAATGGCAGTATCAGGTATTGTAGCAAATTAGGATCCATCTTATCTCTGGGGGAAAATCAGAGTGAATCCAACAAGGCCCTTCCCACTACAGAGCCCCTGAGAGTGGCCCGTTTCTGTAGTCTTCACTGGAGATAATGCTCTTTCTAACTCATTAGCCATCTCTAAGCTGTTAGGTCAAGAATCCATTACAAGTGACCAGAATAGCTTCATTTGGGTATAGATTAATCCATAGTGACTTCAAGCACATAATAAACATTCTCTTAAGGATTTACAAAGATATGGCCTAAGGGACTGGCTGCCTCTTAGCCCTGTTTTCCTCATAACCTTATTTATATTGTCTCATCCACTTCTTTAGGAAAAGGGCTCAAGAGGAGGAAATAGCAGAAAAAACCTTGATAGATGATCAACAGGGTAGTATCTCAAGTCACAGCAGGAAATGTTACCTCTGTCATATCAGATTCCACTCCCCTCTAAACTCATTGTTTATATGCTGCTTAATAGTCATGTTTTAAAAATACATAGAGGACTAAGTTTTATGAACCTCTTAATCTCTACTGTGATCACACTATAAAATGCATCAAAAAGAAGAGTTTAATGTAGGGGCCGGGGATTTATAAGGACTATAATACTTTTTTATTAATATAAGGAGCTGTTTGTGATAGTTTAAGTTTTAAAAAAAGCAGGTGTCCAAATAGTATATATTTAATGTGAAAATAACCATTAAAACAGTTGCCTTGGTGAAAAGAAGATTTTTAGAGGCATTTTTCAAGAAGCCTAATCTTCCATGTTTAGAAAATGTAAGACATTTGCTTAAATCTGTGGACCATTTAAATGCATATTAATAGCTCTCAGGGATCAATCTGAATAGAGCAGAGCAGGTGGGAGGCAGTTATAAGAGCTGTGGAGCAGTATCGAGAAGAAACCACCTCATGTGGGATCAGATGGACCTAGATGGAACTGGGGCTCTGTCACATGACATAGCCAGCTTTATAAGTATGTTCTCACATATGAAATGGAGATAAGAATGTCTGTCTTGCCAGTTTATTTCTAAAATATATTTTAAAATTCTAGCTCCAGGTGTGGCCCAAAGAGCATAGTCAAGGGGAATCATCTCTTTTCTCCTAACTGCTTTTCCTTAGAAACAAACCCGAGGCTTATCCAGTCTGTGGCCATATAGCTCAGTACTGGGGCCCCACAAGAAGTCAATTGAAGAACTAGAACTAGTACTACGTTTCCCAATACTCAAATTGAGTGGTTCTTTATCAAAAGATTGTGGAATTTTGACATGTAGGTTCTAAGATTAGTTATGTGAGCTCTTTGCACAAGAATAATTTAATCACATCCCATCATGATGCACCAGCACTTTGTAACTTGGAGACTGTTAAGCCTCCATGTACACTGGGCCACAGGCTACCAACATAGCTGTGAGAACTGTCTCAGGCTGATTCTAGGAGTTCTTTCTCTGCATCCTTTGCTAATGTTAACTATTTAAGTTCTGTTCATCTCAAGAACTCCTTATCACCCTGTTTTTAGCAGACATACAATAACTATCTAAAAACATCGAGTACTGTTCAAGGCTGTTTTTGTAAGTGATTAGCAGCCTCAAAGAAACATAATAGTGTCTGTTCACATGGCCCTTATAGATAATAAAATTGACAAGCTAAGAGTATTTCCTCTTGGCTGTGAAACCCAAACTAAAGGGTGTTTGTTTTGCAAAACTCTACCAAAATTCTAATTTTATTACCTCCAAATAATTGAGCGACTTGAAAGCCAAAGATTTAGAGGCTGGAACTGAAAATTAGTGTTTTATTAAATCTAAACTTTTCCTGTCAACTTCAGAAGACTTTTTTTACGTGTTCATCTCTCCATCACTGTAGTTGCTCCCCTTCTTATCCTGACAGTTGAGTTGAAAGCCACTGACAGTATTAACTTCTGTGACAGATTAGGCTATTTTTAGATTTTTCAAACCTCACACATAATTGCAGGTGGGTGAGCAACCTATACTTGTCTGATCTGTGAGCAGCTAGGCCATACTGCAAACTGTTTACAGCAAGTATTTAAGCTGCTCACCCTGCTCTGCTTTCAGGCCCACATCAGTCTGCTTGGAATTGAGATGTTTCCATTAGTTGCTTGGTATTTAGACACTTAAGTTTCCAGCAGCATGTCTTTTCATTGATGGTTTATACACACAATGGGAAGATTAAATCCAGAGAATAAAGAAATATGCCTTTGTGGAGGGTTCTGTAGTTTATAAGATTTTATAATATTGGGCCGGAGATTTAGCTCAGTGGTTTGGTGGCCTGCCTTGCAAGCACAAGGACCCAAGTTCAATCCCTGGTACAAAAAAAAAAAAAGATTTTAGAATATTAAAGATAGAAAACAAGACATATCAGCACATCTTTATTTTGTAGATAAGAAAACCAAGGCCCAGGAAACATGAATGGCACAGCTAATTAGCAAAGAGTTCAGACCCAGTCTATCCCTGAATTTCTCTTTCACAAACAATAGTACTCATGTAGATGCTTACTGGGATAGTTAGTGAGGTATGTGGCCACACAGAAATAAAAGCAGTGGGTCCTGAGCTTCTGCATCTCCGGGTGTTGTGCTGACAGTTCTGGGCTGTCTCCTTCGCTCTTTATAGCCGCCCTATGTGAGAAGGCACCATTCCTGCCCTACAACCAGAGGATGCTTAGTGCTTTGCCGAGCTCTGCCTCATTATAGCCAGGTGTAAGTTCTACTCCTGCCCATTTTCATTACCTGAGAAGGCTTATGTTACCTTCTACACCAGCTGTTTAAAACATTTAGATAAAAACACCTTTTTTAATATTTCTAGCACTGAAAATTATAAAGTTAAGAAATTGAAAAAAAGTGTTTGATGTGCCATTTCCATTACCTTTAAAAGACTAGAGATTTTTTGTGTCTTTCATATTTCATTAAAAATAGCAGAGTCATCATGACAGTTATATGGATAAGATTTTTATGAGTAATTTCTACAAACTAGTTATGTGACTTTTTCCCCTTTAGTTTCAGTGCTCTAGCAATTCTAATATACAATACTTAAGTATCAGAAGATAATAAAACTATAATCTACAAAGAAACAAAGAGCCTTTATAATATAGTATAATTTATTCTGCCTTTTTCTGTGAGAAGTCATGCATCATGTTGGAAATTTAAACATTTCATATTTCTGCCTTTGCTGTTTTAAGACATAAAAGGTTTTTTTTCCATGCAGATGAACTTATATAAAACAGTAGGTTTGTTACTAGGAAGCTGTGTGTTAGTAGTGTTGATAAATGCTACCTTAAATCAGTATATTGTGAAACTGGTTAGGGAAAGGATTTAATGGTCAGTATCCTTCGTAAAATGGAAATTTTGTGTTCAAAACATTTAACAGCCTGTGAACAGTTCCCTTTGGTTTAATTTGGATTTCTGTGCCCTGGATTTTTTTTTTTAAAGTGAGCCAAGTCAGCTTAGTTAATTAAAAGAAGTTTACTCTTGAACATTATATGTGTGTGTGACCTTTCAGGGAGAAGCTCTTGGTTTTAATTCAATCCTAAAAAGTGATTTTAGATACTATCAAAAAATATGTCCAAAGAATTACTGGGTAAGGGTACACAACTGCTAAATCCAAGGCTCTGAGCTTTGCTCTCTCTGGGGTGCCCTTCTGCTCTGGGTCTTGTGCAAGGTAGTACATCAGGCTAGAGCCAGACATCACGTTCTGCTTGCAGAAGATTGCTGATACACCTTGTCTTTCACTGGAGAACTTAGAAGTCTTACACCCTGTGTAATAACCGGACAGTTTGGGTGTTTCCATGGGATGAATATTGGCTCTCAAAACTTCATGTACAACCAGAGCCTATGATGTGATCTTATTTGGAAATAGGGACTTTACAAATGGAATCCTGTGAAGATGAGACTATACTGGATTAGGATAGGCTCTCATTCAATGACTAGTTTCTTTATAAGAAAAGGTCTATTTTACCCAGTCTGCCTGGCAAGTGCAAAGTCCCGAGTTCAATCCCTGGTACCAAGACAAAACAAAACGTCTATTTGGACACAAATTCACAGGGAGAATGCTGTGTGACAATGAGGGCAGAAACTGGAATGATGTATCCATAAGCCAAGGAATACCAAGAATTGTTGACAGCTGCTAGTAAGAATCAAGGGAGAAGCTAGTAAGAATCAAGGAATTATCCCTAGAACCTTCCCAGGCAGCATGACCCACACCTTGATTTTAGTCCTCTACCCCCTTGAACTGTAAGAGAATAAATTTATATTGTTTAAAGCCTCCCAGTTGAAGGCATTTTGCTACAGCATCCCTAGGAAACTAAGACAGCTAATAGTATAAGCTTATGGGGTGAGGAAAACAGTGGGAGAAACAAATCAGCTTTTTGTTTTGGGGGGGGGTTCCCTCAAGAAGGAAGCCCAGAGATAGGCAGACACTCAAGTATGGCAGATCTGAGAAGTTCCCCAGGCTTCTCCATAAGCCTTGATCTTCTACATACTGGCAGAGTGATTTCTAGAACTCCTGCCACATTTCAGGCCTGCAGATGGGGAAGAGTAAACGGCATGAACTGAGTCCCTATGAGAAGCTTTCCCAGAAACTCTACACAGGATCTTATCTTAGACTTCAGATTGGCCAGAGCCGAGTCACATGAAGAACTCAGCTACAAGGATAGGTGCATACCTACAATGCTGCCCTTAATAAAATCTCTTGTGCTGGTGAGGAAGGAGTGGAGGGTGGAGTGGGGTTAGCCCACTGTCAAGTCTACCAGCTCTTTAGACCTGGAGTCATTGTGTAGTGAGGAATGGGGTTGCTCGTGCTCTGACAGCGCTCTAGAGGAAAAGAAAGACCAGGGGTCTTCACTTTTCTATCTCACTAACACACCTGTATCATTCACCTTCTCTACCACTCCCCTTTTCATTCTACTGCTGCAAGTGTCCCCACTGCCACTCTTGGGTAGGAGGCTCTCAGCAAACCAGGGCATCTGAGAAAAGCTGGCTAGGACTTCCTGATTCATGAGATTTTCAGACAGTGTGGCCAGCATGATTTTGTAAGTCCTTGTGCAGAAAGTACCTCTATATTAAAGTAATAATCTGTGTTTCTAAACCCAGATGTGTAGAGATATTGCTGTAAAATTCCATTCTCATTAGTATCAGACTTAAAGGTTTACACGTGACAATTAAAAACAAGTCAGACTTGGATTCTGCAGGCTTCCTTTTGCTAATCCCCTGCTTTGTGAGTATGAATTCCCGGGCCCAACTTTACATTAGTTTCTTGGGCTTCCTTTATGCTTCCTACAGGTGTCCTGGTGCTCCTGCCTCCCTTGGTTGAGCTTTCTTGCAGGAGTAAAGAATCTTGACCCCTGCATCAGTGGGGACAGAATCTATTCCCCTGCCAAGCTGCCCAGCTACTGCACCCTGCTGCCTCCACCAGCCCTCAGGCCCTCATAGCTGTGCTTTAAAAGTAGCCTTTTTTAGACCTCTCAAAGACCCACATAACTTGTTTTTGTCAGTTTTCTTCAGTTGTTAATGTCTTGTTGAGTGGATTCCTGTTTTTTTGTTTTTTGTTTTTTGTTTTTTCATGGAGAGCAAATTGTTATTGGCTTTCAAGAAAAAAAATAACATTTTATCTGTAATTATCTCTCTTATTCTTTTCCTATTCAACTTGCTCTCTTGATTTGGAGCAGGACTGTGTTATGAAGTACAGTCAGTTTTTCAAGATAAATAAAAGCTGCTGTTTCTGCTGCAGTAAGAGGACTTGTCAACATAGTTTATAGATTCGCTCTTACTGAGGATTTTAGTGAACTGTCAGACTGGAAGCATGGTGATGGGATCACTCTGTTTTGCCCCTTACTGCAAATACCTTTTGGAAATATTTAGAGTAACACCATTGTGAAGTGCAAGTTCCTTAAGTGCATTTCCATGCTGGGTCATTCAATTCATACTTGCTGTGAACCTATAATATACTAGCTATTATTCCTAGAATTGGAAATATATCCCTGAGCCAAGAATATTTTCAAAGTTTTATCCTCCTGGGGGAGACTGACAACAAATAAGCCAGCACATAATGTGTTGATGTAAGATGATGACACTAAAATAAATGACACTATAAATACACTAAAATAGTTGATGTGGTGGAACTAGAAAGTGACTTGGAGGCTACTTTTGTTGGGTGGGCAGGAAGACTATTCAGAGGAGACAGCATTGAAGCAGAAAGTTTAACAAGGAGGGTGCTGATCTCCATAGATTTGGAAACTTGTGTAAGGCCAAGTGTGCTGGCTCTGCCTCAACCTTTGGGTACAAAGTGAGCAAAAGTCATATACTAGCTCTGGTGGCTCTTAGGACCAACCATGAACTCTTAAGTCATAGGTAGAGTGCCGGGGATATAACTCAGTGGTGCTGCCACCTGTCTCACAAGCACAAGGTCCTGAGTTTGATCACCAGTACCAAAAAGAGAGTCACAGATAGAGACTGGGATGATGTTAAACGAATGACTTAGCATACCATGGAAGACATTATAAATGGAGCAATTTCTTTAAGGCCACAGAAAAGAATACAGATGATGTTTATGGAGTATGAACCTATTTATTGTAGCAGTTTTAAAATGAGTATGCCTGTCAGTATTTTTTAAATGTGTTTTAGTTGTTCATTCCTGCCACCGCCCGCCCCCCAGTGCATCCTCCCGTACATTCCCAGGAGTGTGTTTTCACTCTTCTTCCTGAGAATCCCACCTCGGTGAGCCACAATCCTTGACAAGACTATACGTGTCCTCCAGGGTTGTGGAGGTAAGGACCACGTGCAGCCGATTCTGATGGCAAGCCTCAGTCAGAAGCTAGCTTGATAGGTCCTTTAGGTAAAGGCTGGAGGAAATACTCCTAATAGGGATCTGAGCCATCTGGAGACAGAAGAACAGTTCCTGTGAAGATACTGGGTTAAGGCATGCCAATTCCATGGGTGTCAGCATGTACAGATTCTCTCTTGTTCCTCTCTCTTGTTCCTCTCTCTTGTTCCTTTTGTCCTTTTGTTACCTTGAAACAGTAACATGGTTTACTCTTACAAACCCTTAAGACAATTTATTAGTTTGAGTCATATGGGAGAAACTAGACTTTACAGAGCTGAGCTAACACCTTTGAACTGTAAGGCAGTGTAGGAAGCTCCGGCTAAAAAGCTTCTTCCTTGAGATTGGACAAATGCTCCTGGCTGTTGGCCACATCATTCATTAACAAAAGGTGCCCTATTTTCTCAGTGGAAGTAAAGACATATCTGTCGTGATCAAAGCATATCCCTGCAATGTTGAGGGGAAGGCTACATACCAGGTTTAGTGCTGCCCTCCCTTCTTCCCATCTGTACTTTACAGAGCATCCTTGGTGTGATAGTTGCTATGAAATTTGGCAGAAGAATTCTCAACCTTGTCTAAAGTTATGGTGTAACAACATGTAATTTATACTCAGAGCATTTGTTATAAAATGTCATTCTATTTTCAGTAAATATTCAAGATGTGATTTTACAAGAAAATTTGGAAAAAGAAGACCAAATTCTGGTGTCCCTGGCAGGATTAAAACAGGTAATGTGCATTACTCTGATACTGTGTCCTGCAGGCCTCCAGTTTGGTGCCTACTCTGGGGAGGGCTCCTAAGAGCATGCATACCATGATATCACAACCATGTTCCCTTGCTCCTCACATCTCCCAGGCAGAGCCCCTCCAAAATTTCTTTATGCCCCTTGCTTCCTTCTTTAAGGTAACTGCCAGGAACGTGATGCCCATGTTTGACCCTGGGAGAACCTGGCCATTAACACACTGAAATTTTCCTTGGTCATTGCTAAGTCTTCAGCCTTGACAAAGTTGGGGTTTTGGCCCATTATTTCTTACAGTAAAATATTATTATTTATACAATAATATTACCACCTTATTTGTAGGGAATAGATTCCAGTGAGTGTCTGAAACCATTGACAGTACTGTACATGTATATTTTGCCTGTACATAAATACCTACAATAAGGTTTAATTTATAAACGGGACACAGTAAGAAATTATCAAAATTATAGCATACTATAATAGAATTATGTAAATGTGTAATCTCATAAATTTTAATTGTATTGAATTTGCCTTTATTGTGATAGGATGAGATGACACACTGACTACTTGAAGAGATGAAGTAGACGGGGGTGTGTGTGGTGTTTGGCCACTACAGGTGACTTGAACACCAAGAGAGTGATACTGTGACAGTTGATATAACAACCAGGACAATAGCATTTATAGCTAGACAAAGGAATTCTATCTTGGTAGGTCAAAATGGGACAGTAAGAGATTTCATCACGCTACTCAGGATAGTGGTAATTCTTATTTCCAGAACTGATTTCTAGGATTTTCTTTGAAATTTTTGAACTGCAATGGACCACAAAGAGCTGAAACCATATATAAGTCTACTTTGAATGTATAAGTGATTCAGCTAGCATTTAAACATAAACTCATTCATCTTTTATTTATTGTATTCTGTTTTGAAAATAGATCAAAGACATTCTGAAAGGTTCCCTACGTTTCAACCAAAGCCAGTTGGAAGCTGAGGAGAATGAGCAGATTACCATTGCAGATGACCACTATTGCTCCAGTGGCCAGGGACACAGCAGCCAAGTTCCTGAGGCCACCAAACAGGTACAGTAGCTCTGATGAAGTATTACATTACCTCAATGCAAACATATCAATAGAAGTTCTTCAAAGTTATAAATGATAAAAGCCCTACTAGTTTACTTCAGATCACATGTGAAGTTCAACTGTGAAATAGCCCAAGTAGCCCAAGCCAGGATTCTGTGTCCAGCTGTATAGGTTGTACACGCTAGTACTGCAGGTGGTGCTATTCACAGTGATAATGAAGAGATTAAGGACTCCTAGAGTTCTGCAGTACATAACCTATAACCCTGTGTGCAGCAGCATTGGCCTAAGCCTCCTACCATTCTGTGAGGCTCAAAGCCAGATCTCTATCATAGTTATTGGTCAGTTGGCCCCAGCTGTGTCTCCATTCCTTTAGCACAAGCAGAACTGTCCATACTTTCCTAGTGCTGTCTTCAGTGCATTTCCCTTGTCTTGAACCTTTTTAAGCAGTTACTTTCTTGCCTTCGCGGGAAAGAACTTCTAATTAACGTGCATCCTCTTAGGTGAGGGTCACTAAATTTTATCTAAAAAGGGCAGATAGTAAATATTTTAGGATATGCAGGTCATGTATGGTTATCTGTCTTTTTCACTCTTCAGTCACTGAGGCAAAATACTCAATTGTCTGTTACTTTTCTCTCATTGCCGAGACAAAACACCTGACATCCAGAATGAGAGGAGGAAAGGCTAATCTAGCTCAGTTTGTAGAAGTTTCAGTCTATAATCAGCTGGCTCCAAGGCCAGGTGGCACATAGCAGAGGGACAACAGTCCATGGTGGCAGAAGACAGCAAAGGACACAGGTGAGAAGACAGGTCTCTCTGTCCCTTATATTGTCCAGGCTACCTGGATTAGGGCAGTACCAATCCAGTAATCACACACGCTTAATCCCAGCATCATACACTCTAGGTTTAGCTACCTATGACCATATGAGGATTTGAGGGGACATCTAGATCTAAACCATAACACCAACATGTATAATTTAAAGGAGAAGAGATTTATTTGGCTCAATTTCCTATAGGTACAGTCCAAATTTGGCTGGCTCTAAGGCAAAAACAGCATGGTGGAAGGGCCTGACAGAGGAGAGGTGCATATCCTATGGCAGCCAGGAAGAGGAGGAGCCATCTGGGAGCCTTCCAGATCATGCCCCCAGTGCCCCACCTCTAATCAGGCCCCACCCCCTAACAGCAGTCAAACTGTGACCTCATCAGTGGACTGATCCACTGAGGAGTACAGAGTCCTAATGAGCCACTCACCTTCCAAATACAGGTGACTTCGGGGGGACATTTTAGATATAACTATAGCAACCACCTTTTAAAAATGTGTAAATCGTTCTGTAGTTGGGGACCATGCATAAATAGGCTGGCAGTCATATTTGGCAATAATTTGCTCACTTTTGCTCTCAGGTATCAATTTTATAGAAGTTATAGTGAAATCACAGGTGATTAGCCTCAGAAGGGCACAAAGGCAGCTGCTTAGCTACCTGCTGAGCAAGACCCTGAGTGGCAGTGGGAGATATTTCTTTCCCCTGACCTGAGAGAAAAATAAAGTGGTACAGTCATCCTCCAGAACTCAGAAACTGGGAGTGGTTTCCCTTCTTGGTCGAAGATTTAACCTTCATTCTTATTAACTTTCTGTTGGAGTCCCTCCTTCTGACATAGGCCATAAAACACTTTACATAAGGAATTTCATCCCATTCTCCCTCTCCCATACAGAATAAATCTGGTTGCAAAATAGTATTATACTTTAAAGACCCAGCCTTGGGCCATTTCTTCTGGTCTCCCAGGTCATATAGTTGCCATATGTGTTGCAAAGAAAAAGAGCATCTGTTTCTTATATCATTGACAAATAGCCAAACATCTGCCAGTGATGGAGACAGTCTAGCAGTCTCTCCTGTCGTATGGATGCCTTTTGCTTATGCTAGCTGTTACGATTTAAACATGAAGTGTCCCCCAATGATACAGGTATTGAAAGTGCTCATCTCCACTGGGTTTAATCCATTGATGGGTTCATAGCTGAATGGGCTATTAGGAGGTGGGGCCCCGATGAAGGAAGACAGTTACTAGGGCTGTGTCTCTGAAGGATATATCCTCTTCCTAGGCCCTTCCCCTCTCTGTAGCTCTTCTGTTTGCTTGGCTTCCCAGCTGCCATGAGCTGAGCAGCTTTCCTGACGCGTGCCATTTCTTCCTTGGAGCCAGCAGATCATGAACTTGAGATTGTAAGCCAACCTTCTTTTCTCCCTTATTTGTATATATGTCAGGCATTTTGTCCCAGCAATGAAAAGCCACTTAACGCCTGGCAAAAATGGCTAGTCAGAATGCAAAAATGCAAATCCTGCAACTCTTCCTGGATATAATATTTAAATTTTGATCCAGTATAAAAAGATTTCAGAACATTGAAACTCATAACAAGGGGGGTTTCCAGAATATCAGAAAGCCACATTTCTCTCTGGAACTTTAGGATTCTATTTCTTTTACCTTTATATAGATCTGCACAGTTTTCTATACTGAGGCTTTCAGCAGTCAGGTGTCCCTGAACAGCCTCTATTTCAGCCTTTCCCCAAGATCTATCTCACCATTGTGTGTACTTCCCCTGACCTGGGTCCCTTTTCAATTTATTCCTGGGGTTCAGTTAACCTCCTCAAGCATCTGGTACTACACACTGATCTGAAGGAAATTTCAAAGAAGGTGCGGAGTGGCTGCTAAGTTTGTCCGGCAGGGCAGAGCCAGCAAGTCAGGTGCCAAGAAGGAGCCTTCACGTATCAGCACAGGATGTGCCCTCAGCAAAACAGGAGATATTCTGGGAGAGCTGCTGCAGCCCCACTTCGGTCACCAACATGTAAAAGAACACAGTAGATTCATGCCTTCATGAGTGAGGGCAAAAACAATAAGCATAACCAAGATAGAGGAGAGACAACAGGCTTATTACTAGTAGCAAATAAGAGCATTGGGGATAACTCCAGAATAGTGTCTCCTAGAACAAAGGAATCAAGAGAATTTTATTGGGGAAATTTAACATATTCATACCAAAGAGACTTGTCATCACATGCAGAAGTGGACACGACCTTGCATGATTAAAGATCATGTTTCCTACATTCCACATTTAAGATGGCAGGCAGGAAAACCTCTGAGGCAGAGAATTTAGCATTCTAACAAGACTGTAATGAACAAAGTTTACTCTAGGTCACCTAAGAGGGGCTGAGTGACTTGGACTGCTTTGAATGGTTCCTGTAGTCTTCTCTGGAGGGCCTTATCAAACAAATTGATTTATGTTAGCAGTCATCATGGGAGGCAACAGTTTATCCCCAATAACAAATGCTTCACTCTAACAGCTCCTGCCTAGCAGCTAAAAATCCTACCCGCTCCACTTACTACTTAGGGAACCCCACCTCCATACCCAAGATGAACTAGTTCTGGGATATATATATGAGAGGAAGTGTTCTTTGCCCTTGTTCTTACAGGACTCATTCAGACACATCAGCCAGGGGACCCTTCACCTCTGTGTTTCTGAGACATAGCCCCTCCAGGGCCTGAAGACCCCACAGGGGAAACAGCAGGGCTTCTGTTCGCTGCTGTGGCCCCTTCTCTGTAATACTTAGCATTTTGCGGAAAAGAAAAGTGCTCATGAAGGTTTTTATGAGGAAAGGATAAGGAAGGAACCAGTGCTCTTCTTTCTCCTTCAGAGGCAGGAAGACAAGAAAAATATCAGATGTAAGCAAATCAGAAAGACAAAGTACGTACATGGAGCCTTCTACTGCAAAGCCCAAGTGTCTGGACTAGATGGATAAGGAATCTGCCAGGCAGGAAGCCCTGAAGATATGTGCATTCCAAGGCTTGGAGCTGGCTGAGATTTTCCTTCTCATGGCATACTGGGGGAGAGGTAGAAGATACTGGCTATAGGTGAGCTTTGTCCAGGACCATGCCATCCCAAGTGCCAGGTGGGAATTCTGAAAGCTTCCAAATGTGTACTGGGGGCCTGCTGTGTCAGATACTAAGTGTTCAGAGGTATAGGCTATAGTCTCTGCTATCATGAGCTTCTAATTTATAGGTGGCCAGGAGTAGGGGGAACAGTGCTAAGCAGGTTCTTGAGATGCTTTCAGGAGATGCCTTTACATGTTAGGTCTGTCATGCGCTCATCCCTAATTTAGGCCTGGCTTGCCCTACCACGGGGACAGCCAGAGTCCCCCACCAGTGCCGCTCCCCGTCAAGAACTGTGAAAAGGCATCCCCTTTGTGGAAATGCCTGTGCCTGCTCCCCACTGTTTTGGTGCTCATGTGGCACATGTTGTATTTGATTTACAAATCTTACCTCAAGCTCTGAAAAGAGCAGACATGTGAAATGTATTCTGTGAAGCGAAAAAGACATCTTTTAGGATGTCCCTCCTAAAGGAACATGTGAACTCCCACATCTGTCACAATAGAATGCAGGACTCTGTCAGACCCTAGATTCGTCAGTCAGCACAACCCGTCACATGCCTTACTGGTACTTGGATTCCAAGCTTGGTTTTTTATTTTTTATATGTCATACCATCACCATTCTAATCGCTCGACTCTTGTATTTAGCATAAAGACAGGACTAACTCAGGAATTTATAAAACTTGAGAAAATTATATAAATGGAATGAGGTAGGTTAAGGCTGCTATGGAAATCCTTAAAGAATTCATCTTTGCATCTAGAAAGAAGTCTAGGTGGAGCCCTTTAATTTGTGATATTGGCCAAGCTGCCAGGTTCCCTATCTGGGCTTCCTTTCATGATCTATAATTTTGAGGAGGAAGTGGGGGTTGAAAATAAAAAGTCTCTGTCAGCTCTAACTTGCTTTATCAAAGCCCATCTATGGCTTTTATCTGGGAATCAGGAGGACTCATACCAGATAATGAGAGAAATGGGAAGAACCATCCTTACTTCTGGTTACAGGTGGTCAGAAGTATTTCTCCCCTTCAGAGAATCACTCATGTCTCCCTGTAAGTGGCCATGGTATCTTTGTAGTAGAGGTACTGCTGTGAAAGCAAGAGCCACTGAATGTACTCTCATTTTCAGCCCAAGATAAGCTCTCCTGAGCCATCCCAGCCCAGAGCCCTGTTAAGAGAAATCAAAGTTGTCACAGTTTACAGTACATGATAGCAGCTCACACTCTCAGAACAGAAAGTTAAACCTGAGGTCCTGTGTTGATTCCCAGTGGCTTTGGGTGCTTCCTGCATGTGTGAAGAAGCCCCACTCCCTGAGGTAGCATGGCCATCCCCATTACAGGGACACCAATGGGAATGAGGTTTTGTTTTTTGGTTTTTTTCCTCCAACTGAGAAAAGAGACAGCCCTTCTTTATGCAGCAACCCTGTCAGTCCCATTTTCTATCATTCCTCTCCCACCAAGAGGGTCTTGTGTTCACAGAATGTCAGCAGCTTCAGAATTCAAAGCGGGGGACCTCTGGGCCTGCTGTAATCTTAAGGAAGACTGTTTCTGCTTTCCAGCTGCCTGTCTGAAAGAGCCTGAGCCATTATTTAGCCACTTGTCTCCATATTACCCAAAAGACAACAACAAAACAACCTCAGATTTGGACAAGGCCCTGTTAGTGAGGCAGCAGAGCCAGATTTCCCTCAGAAGTGCTGCTGATTCCCTTCAAGGTGCTGTACACAGCCCACAGATGGCCTAGGCTGTGCCAGTGAGGAAGCCAAGGACACAGGGGCACTTTTGACTTCAGAGATTGCTCTAGTTTCCCCCTATGCTGTCAGCAGGCAGGTTGGGGAGGCTGTGTGGGCACTCCATCAGTGCATGTCACCCCTGCAGAAGGTGTTTCTGCCAACTGGCATCAGACATCCTTGGTCAAATTACAGCTTTACTGACCCAAAACTTTTACCTCTGTGTGTGGGTGTTAACATCCCTAAATTAAAAAATAAAAGGCCTCCCATAATTGCTTAGAAAGAAAAGAACTGTAGATTAAAGCAATTCGATTTCTATAGTGTGCAATTAAATGCCACTTTTGCTTTTCCTACTTATAGAACCAATACTTAACACTGTTGCCCCAGGAGACCACCAATTGCATACCACAATGAGCTCACTCTGAGATTTCTATGCAATAATACAGTAGGCCCCCTGAAAGCTATCCTTCAAGCAGGTGGTAAAACCACTCCAGATGTGGCAGCTCACAGTAGGGAACCTGTAAGGTTCACATCCACACACAACATCTCACTTTACTGACCACACTCTAGGAGGGAAATTCAGTCTTTCTTTCTGTTTCACGATGAAAAAAATTAAAGCTGTTGGAGGATAGGGGGTTTGTACTAGAGGTTCCACATGAGACTGGGAGGGATGCTGCCTGCCACCTGTTGCTGGCTCCTGAGCTTGCCCTCTAGTATAGAGACACAGCTTACCAAGCAGATACCAGGCTTTGTTCTGCTGGGAAGCCAGCATCCAGCTTCAGAGGGCTGAACAAGATGCTGCAGATCCCGAGCCAGTGCTAGAAGCTTGAGCTTCCAGACAGCAGGACCAAACACTGCATCTTCCCAAGGTAGAGCACAGGGGACGGTGGCCACACATCCTGGAGTGTCTCCCAAATCACAGAGCCCTCTACTAAGTGCTTTGCAAGTTTCTTCTTTCATGCACCTGTTACTTTCTCTATTTCACAGGCCTCTTCAGAAACAACAGGGTGCAAAGACAAAGGGAGCTCAGATGACTTCATCTTGGTTTCCAAGGAAGATGAGGGGGCCATTGCCAGGGGGCCCTTCTCAGGCCAGGCCCAGCCTCTTTGCACCCTCAGAAGCCCATCTGGGAAAAACCAGGCCCCAGCCTGCTCCCCACTGGTGTTCTTAGACCCACTGATGGGTCCAGGTCCAGCTTCAGCTTCCTCCAGCAACCCCAGCTCCAGCCCTGATGATGACAGCAGCAAGGATTCTGGCTTCACCATTGTGAGCCCCTTGGACATTTGACCACAGGACCCAGCCACCCCTCCGTGGCCTCAAGGCTTTCCCAGTGGAGATGTGTATGAAATCAACACTTCTTTCCAAGCATTCATTTGGCATTGGCACAGTCCTTTGGAACCCTTTTCAAAGAAGCAAATATGGCCACAAAGCACACAGAGCAATTATATTCACCAAAATGCAGGCAGAGCTTTCTGGGTCCTCACTTGACCCGCACATTGCCCTTGCTCTGAATTAGAGCTGAATTAAGTACTCAGCACCACATTCACTATCAGAAAAGATGACCCCACACTCAGAATTACTCTTCCTCTGTTCCCTCCTCCCTAACTAAGAGGATCCAATCACCCCAGCAGTTATACTAAGGAGGAGGAGAAGCTGGTTTCAAATCTTCCCTCCCTCAACACATCAGCCACCAAAAATTGGTCCATATAAAAAAAAAATTTCTCAGTGAAAGTCTGTCTCACCCTACTTGGTTCCTATCTTGGGAAGCCATATAGTAGAACCAAGTGCAATAGGATCATCTAGAATGAATGGATTCCAGGGCTATGACAAACCTGTTACTGACTTCTCAAAGTTATAATGATCTTTAGAAAAAGGATCTAAACTTGGGAATCATACTTAAGTGTGATGTGGTATTATATTCTTTTCACTTGTTAAAGAATACATTTAAAGTCCTCAGGCTTGAATATACTTTGACCATTACTGTTACTCCTGAAATAATTTGTATTTTAACTTTTAGACTCCTAGCCAGAAAAAAAGGTCACTTTAAACCAATCTTGGCTGCACTGATTTCAGAAGTTGAAGGAATGTTACTATCCTGAGTTGGGAAATGTGACCCTAACTTAGATTATGGGATAAACCTCTTTCAATTTTCTGGTAAAGCTTCTCTAGTTTCAGAGCTGTATTTTTCTGTTAACTGAGGAGTAAGAGGAAATACCCATGCTGGAGCCCATCCGTAGCCTTAAGGCAGCAGGGGCAGAAAATGAGACCTGGAGTCCCTTCTATGAGAAGCAGGGTTTTCTCAAGAACATTCCAGGTGCCCGGAGGATGCAGGTTTCTACACAGCCCCTTACCTTTCTAAGATTCAGTTAGGAGTTTTGGGGCCTGCCCTCAGCTGTGAACTCTGTGTCCTGGGCACCATTGCCAGGACCAGGTCAGATATGCGATGCCTTCCTGAGCTTCAGCACAGATGACAGGCTCTGCCCTCATTTGGCAGCTTTGGAAGTCATGAGGCAGAGCAGCACATGAGCCCTTTCCTTAAAGGAGGGAGAATATGAAAAGGACACCACCTCCTGGCTTCTATCCAGGCACTCTGCAGGGGGCTGGGGGGGTTACTTACCCACAGGCACATTTCACCTCCTCAGGGCAGACTGACTCACTGGGCCTCTGAGTGGTGGCAACCTTGTGATAACTGTAAATGAAAGTTAAGCATGAGAGAGTGTTTATGCCCACCCACTGCTCACCATGTATTTCTCTGATAACAAGTGTAATAATGACATTTCCCACTCCATCTCCAAGGAAATGGGATGACTCTCAAGTCAGCTACTACAAAGGAGGTTCTAATCGGCTCTACAATTTGTTACTAAACTGGCACAGAAATCTCTCATTGCATCACCCTATTAAGGTAAATAACAACTGGTTTTGCCATCTACTAGAGTTGTCTGGCCTTCCCTAGAGAGCATTTGCATGCCGGGTGCACTGATACCTGTCTTCTGCACCTTTAAGTTGTTACTGATAATGTCTCTGCGACAACTCTGTACGCTCCAGGGACCCCACAAAGTGAGTGGCTTGCACCAGTGCAGAGGGTGCCACAGTTGCTTTCTCACAAAGATTTGCCTGTGTAATGTGTCAGTGTTCTCAGTTCTGTGAGGTGTGGAGCTGTCCTGCCAGGATCCTAGTACCGAAACCAAAAAGGACCAAGCTGGCTATCTCATAGCTATACCACTGTCATCTGCTCATCCAGTATCTCCTTTGCCCCAAGTGTAAGATCTGAGTGTCAACAGCCACCCACCAAACCAAGAAGGCTGTTGCCATTGGCCAGGCATTTAGTAGTCACCACAAAATTTCTATCAGACACAGGTCCTCTTCCTCCCATGCTTCTGTGTCGGTGTCACATGAGAACTGAGTTTACTTGGAGGTGTTGCTTCTAGCCACCCAATAAGCTCACCCCTCCTCAGAGGAGAGAAACATGGAAGAGGCCTGGGGTATAAGTATACCAGACCCAGACTCAGCACATTGTAATAGTGTTTTTTCTAAGTGACTTTTCTATTCTTCGGTGAGCATTGTTTGCATTTTTTTAGTGATAGTGCTATGAAAGACTATGTGTTCCTTTGTTTTTTTAATCAGGTACTTATGTTTCCGTGCACATTTTTTAAAATACTTGATATATGAAGCTTTTTTTAAAAATATAGTAATCAATGGAATGCCTCATTATTAGCAGTTAAATAATACATTAAGCTTAGATTGATTCCCATTTTCATTTTTTTATATACATGTTCCTATGTGTTTCATACATTCCGCTGATCATACTGGAAATCTGAGTTTAAATTTATCAGTTAAATTACACTTGAGAGACTACTAGAGAAAGAAATTCATAGTTACTTTGCCTTATTTCATGTATATGTCAAGGGGGTCATATAACACTTTAAAAATTTAATTATACTAGGTTATTCTTACAGAAACAACCTCTTAATATTCAGTGTTAACCACAATCTGGGAAGAAATAATAATACTGCAGAATGAATGTGATTCTAAAAATCAGGGCCTCCCTGCGATTTGCCTTCTCCAGTATGACTAAGCTGTATCAGCTGCCCCTGTAGCCACGGCACTGCTACAGGGGGCTGGGTGCCGCCTTCATCTTAACTGCAGCTCTCACAGTCATGCTGTCTCCTAGTGAGAAACCTGTCTTACCTGATCCATGTGTACTTTTTGTTTTTAATGTTTTCCAAGAAATTTCCCCCTTGGGGAGGTCATTACGGAAGTGTATATGAGGACTTGGGCCTCCATATGCTATGAAGCCAGTCCCATCTGCCCCAGGACACACATGCCTGGCCCTGCCTGTGTCCAGAGTGGCAGTGGGGAGCCTTGGAGCAGGGTGCAGGCTGGACTGGGCTGAGGGCAGCGGCCAGCAAGCCCAGCTTCCTTCACAGAGGTCAAGCTGCTTTCTCAGTGTTAACTTTCAAAAGGTCTTCATAGTGTTGGGAAAAAGAGTTCATGTAAACAGGGTAGAGACCACCTTGATATAACAGATGTCATAACTTTCCTCACAGTGCCACAATTCATTTGATTTATGGAATATTCAGCAGTGCCATTTTTATCCTATCACTTTTTCCCATCCTTTATGCTATAACTCTTACTGATCTAAGAAATGATTATCCTCTTGGCAAAGTGATCCCATTCTGTACAGGTATAATAAAAAAAGTGCAAAATTGAGATTGTGGTTTGACTTGATACAGACAGGTGGCATAGACTATCCAGCCCTGGACCAGAGACCAATACAGCCTCACCTACACCACAGCTGGGGCCTAGAACCCCACATCCCCTCTAATTCAGGACAGCTGCTGAACCTCCTGGGCCTCACTTTCCTTTTCTGCAAACTAAGTGACCAAGGGTTACAAAAGATAGAATGTTGGGAGCCCGAGGCACATTGCGTAAAAGGCAGTTTCAAGGGTTCTTGATTCTGGAAGTCATGAGGTCCCACCCTTTGGTGGACAGCCATGGGCCCTCGGCACCTAGGGCCTACCCTGAGGCAGTCTGGCATGGCTTGCGGGTCCTACAAACTTGGAGAGCAGCCCTTTCTTCTCTCCCCACAACACCAGGCTTGCCTTCACCCAGCTCATGTAGTATTTGATGAAAATGCTATTGGGTGAGAACAAAGAGGTGGCCAAGAGCCCTCAAAGTCTTAACAACTAGAAAGGGTGGCAGCCAGGAAACCATCAGCATCTTGGTGTGTGTGCTGGGGCCTAACTTCAGCCTGCCTTAGCCCCAGGCCCACTTAGGGGCTTCCCCGCCTGTAGGTCATGGTGCCTCCCTGTAGGGCCTGGTGCCCCTTCTCAATGCATGCTAGTGCGGGTGACCTGATTTCCCCAGTGGTGTCAGCCACCCATAAACTAGAATCTGCCTCCAGGAGTACCTCACCCACGTCCCTGGAGATTAATGAGTGCTACAGGACCTTCTTTCCTGGCTGCACCTCCACGGATGGGCTTTACCTAAGCCTAAGGCAGCTGCTCTTCTATCAGGAAGTGCAAGGGGACTGATGTGAGCAGAGCCATACATAAACACAGCTGCTCCACTCACTGTTAGGGCCACAGCAGGCTCTCTGCATGTGAATTCTGGATTCCTGCCCAGGTTGCCAACTCCACAAGTTACCATTGGCCAATCACACCCTGATGGAAGAGCCACTGAGCCCCAATTCCAACCATGATTGCCTCTGTCAGAGCCGGCGTCTGTGTGTGTCCATCCAGAAGTTTCTGAACCTAGAGGCACGTCTGTCAAGGGGATGGTTCTCAGGAAGTTGAGGGGCCCTGGACACAGGGATGGATGATACCCTAACAGGATTCACTCAACATCAGTCTGCTCATTTTCCTCCAGCAAACTCCACTGCATGCCTTCAAAGTATGAAGCTATGCAGATGCTGAGGACGTGAAATGCCCCTTGAATTGCCAGAAAAGAATACAAGCGATATCGTTGTACATTAGGAAAAAGTACCCTCCCAACTTAGCCTCAAGTCCAGAAGAGGACTTACATCCAGGCAAGAACGGGATCCCAGAAGACTTCAGTGGGGAGCCAGGTGGCCAGTGTGAGTCAGCAGTCCTGAGGTAAGCAGCAGACACTTCTACCTGCTCAGTAAATGCTAGAAATGTGGTGGGATGGACTTAGGACAACAAGCACAGTGCATTTTCCCACAGGCATTTGCTGGTCCTTAGCAGATACTTGATGGGCCGAACCTTCCAGGACAGCCAATAGAACACACGGGTCATTTAGTCCATGGGAGCCCAGATACCAGGATCCTTACTGTAGTTCAGGAAGTAGCCTCATAGAAGGAGCCCTCCCATGTCACTCAGACTCAGAGAAAGGAAAGGGGTATTTAGCTCACTATATAGTTGAAATGGTGATGGGGCTGAGAAGGTGGTATCGTCTCCTGTAGGTGCTC